TTTCATCAAGGAGCGGGGATCTAGCTCAGTGGTTCTCCCTCCTGCCTTGAAAGTGCAAGGTCTCGAGTTTGACCCTGGTACCAAAAAAAAAACAAAAAACCCTGAACATTTCATCAAGTCCTAAGTATTCTTTGCTTGACTCTAAAAAGCTACATTGCACTAGGTTTCCAAGCCATTATTACTTTAGATGCTAAGAGATATTTCCCCTGTAGCATCTGAAGCTTCCTTGGAATGAACTGACAAAGATTCAGTGAAAGAAAAGGCATATGAATTTATTAAACGAGAAATCACGGCAGAGGAGGAAATTACAGCTTTGTGATTACTTAAGAGCCCGAAATTACTCAGAAGCTTGCAGGCCTCATTTCCACGGGAGAGGGGGAGATGGGGAATGGGGGTGGGGATTATATATCATTTTAAGGGGACACCAATGAGATTGGAGCACAGTGTCCTGGGACAAAATCTGTATGGAAGCCATGATGGGCGATGGTTTGTAAATGATTCTCCACGGGACAGATGTAGAGGTCAATGCTGTTGACAAAGGTCTGCAGGTGTGCGATGGATCCCAGTGTCTCTTCTGGAGACGTGGGCTTAGCTAACGAAAGCTCGGGGAACAACCCAGAGGCGACTGCTTCCTCCTCGAGGTCCAGACTTCAAGCAGAATCGGAGATATCAGAGGGAAGCTGCTTCCAGCCTTTGCTTTTCTCTTAAGTTCCTTTCTGTGAAAATAATCACACACTGAGGAGCTGCATTTGGAGTGACAGTCCCTGGACTCCCTCGTTATTCACAATACGTCTGACACCAATTGAGGGGCCGATGTTCCACGCACCCACCCATCCTCCAACTCTCCAACCACCCAAAGGGCGCCCTACAGTTCATTCTAATGCTGTGCACCAGAGCTAACTGGGGTCCACCAGCTAAGGTCTCAGCCCCGTAAGAGCCCCATTTCCAACCCCCCATACATTTGACCAACTGGCCACAAAGTACATATTCCTCTGAACCGCTCTTGATGTTTGATGATTTGCTAGAACGACTCTCAGAGCCCAGACCTTGTTTATCAGGGTGAGCTTATATGTTGGGAGTTTTTCTTTTACTTTTCTACGAATTTTTATTTTGTATTAGTATACATTTGTCATACATAACGATCACATTCCTCTGAGGAGTTGGAAGGTGTACAGTAACACATCTTAATTCTTTTTTACTCCCTTTCCCTTCTCCTCCATCCCTTCTCTCTGCTTCTCTTGGTCCCCTTCCCATTTGCGAAAGATCTATCTCCCTACTTCCTGTCACCAATCATTTATTTTGTTCATTATATTGTGGGTCTCTCATATAAGAGAAACCATGTGATATCTAAGCCCATGTGACTTATTTATTTTACTTAACATTGTGCTCTCAAGGTGCCTCCATTTTTCTACAAATGACTCAAGCTTATCCTTCTTTATGGTAGAAGTAGTACTGTATTGTGTATAAATATCACATTTCCCGAGCTGCTTCTAAGATTTAGCTATTGTGAATTGTGTTGCTATGAACATGGGTATGCCTGTATCGCTGTAATGTGATGTCTTTAACTCTCTCAGGAAGACGCTTAGAAGGAGAACAGCTGGGTCAACTGGAGAACCCCGTTAAGATGAAGGGGTGGAACCTTTGACCCACCAGCTTCCTAGTCCCTGCCGACCTGTTCTGAACTCTGTGGGGTCAGCAGTGGATAGGTGGTGATGTGGGGGTTAGGAAGAGTGTTGGTTCCAGACATGACACCAAGGAGGGCGCAAAGGGTTAGCTTGACCAGGGGACAAGGCAGTCAAAGTCCTTAATAAAAGACCTTAAATAAAGTTAAAGTTGAATTGCCAAGACCTTGTTTCTAGTTCTGTTTTGTTTTTTTGGTACCGGGAATCGAACTCGGGACCTTGTGCTTTTAAGGCAGGCGCCAGAATCACTGAGCTAAATCCCCAGCCCGACAAGACCTTGTTTCTACAAACACAATTTATCAGTTTTCCTGGATGCTCCAAATGTTTTAAAATTGTATATATTCTTTAAGGTTGGGCACTCTACATATATATATACACATCTTTATACAATTCAATTGTGTTGCTCAACTGTTTTCTATCAGGAGTCAGCAAACTCTGGTCAAGCCAAATCCTAGCTCACCACCTGGGTTTGTACGTAGATGTTTATTGGAACAAAGTCTGTCGTAAATGTATGTGTTGATATCTATCACTGCTTCTATACTGTGACAGCAGTTTCCCTGCCCTGCTCTATATTATTAATGACATTTCTGTCTGCTCTATGAATACTCGAGTCAACTACCAAACCCTGCCAGGGCATTGCAAGTTTGTCAGTTTCTGTTTCTTTCAGTGTTTCCTTTACTTACTTCAAAATTCAATTCTCATATGAATAAAGATTAAGACTGCTGCATCTTGGTGATTTGCACAATACCCCATAAGAAATACCCTTCTTTCCACATAATGTGCTTTTAAAAAATTCTCCGTAGTCTCATGTTCGTATTGTTCTGTCTGAAGCTTTCTGTATTTCTTTTCTCATATTTTTTTCTTTTTCTAAAAAGTGAGCATACCGGAATCAAAATTGATCATAGACCAAAAGGGAAAACACAAACTTTCAAAAATTCATAGGAGAAAATCTAGATGAGATTGCATTTCATGCATGACCCATGAAAGTAAAAATCAATAACTTGGACTTCATTAAAATTAAAAATTTCCTGTTTTACGAAATTCTCTATAAAAGCAAAAAGACAAGCCTCAGACTGGGAGAAACATTTGCAAAAGGTACATCAGATAAAGGAGTGTTGTCTAATATATACAAACCACCTTTAAAACCCGACAGTAAAAACGCAAACAACTTTCAAATTTTGGCAGTTATGAACAAAGCTGCTACAAATAGTAGTAATGTGGGTTTTGTGTGGACATAAACTTTTATCTCCTTTAGGTAACTACCAAGGAGCATGATTGGTGTATCCTATGTATGTTTGGTTTCATAAGAAACAGCCACGGGTCTCTGAATGAGGCTGTACCATCTTGCATCCCAAACAAATAATGAATGCTAGTTCCTGTCATCCACATTTCACATACACTTGATGCCACTGGGACATGGGATTTGGGCCATTCGAATAATGGATAGTGGTGTCTCATTGTCTTAATTTCTTTAGCCTTGATGAGATACGATATAGTTATCTATTCACGTGATTATTGCCATCTGTAAATCTGCTTTGATAAAATGTGTGTTAAGGTTTTTGACCTTTTGTTTGTTTGTTTGTTTGGGGGTTTTTTTGGTATCAGGAATCGAACTCGGGTCCTTCTGCATGCAAGGCAGGCGGCAGAACCACTGAGCTAAATCCCTGCCCCATGACCTATTTTTTTTAAAGTAAGTTGTTTGTGTTCTTATTGTTGAGTTTTGTTTTGGGGCTGGGGGGGGGCTGGTACCAGGGATCGAACTCAGGACCTTGCACTTGTGAGGCAGGAGGCAGCACCACTGAGCTAAATCCCCGGCCCAAATGTGTGTGTGTGTGTCCTATCTTCATACCATGGAATCCAGCCTTCAGGAAGAGCCTGGTAAAATTGCCTGCTTTTACCTCTATAAGTATTTTCTAGAAATACTTTCTGTGCTTCCCATGGCTTTCCTGGGAGCCAAGATCTTATATTTTTTGTTGCTGTTGTTACTGTTGTTGTTTTGGTACCGGGGATCAAACTTGGGTCCTTGCACTTGAGCAGCAGGCAGCAAAACCACTGAGCTAAATCCCCAGCCCCCTATTGAGTTTTAACAGTGTTTAGACAAACAGTTAGCCAAACTTACCAAAAGAAGAAAGAATGCTTATCAGCACAATTAGAAATGAAAAATCCAAAACCACAATGGACACCACCAAAATCCAGAAGATCATTAGTAACTCCTCTGAAAAAGAGTACTCCAACAAGTCAGAGAATCTTAAAGAAGTGAACAGATACCTATACACATGAATTACTAACACTAAACCAAGAAGACATAAAAACCCTGGATAATCCAGTAATAGACAATGACATTGAGGCAGTAATAAAAAACTTACCAACTAAGCAACGTTCATGACCTGATGGATTGTGTAATAAACCACAGTAACAGTAGCGAGGACAAAATCATATGATCAGCTCAATAATTCAAAAAATGCCTTTGACAAAACCAACAACCTTTCATAGATAAAACCTTGAAGAAAAGAGGTAAAGAAGAACCTTATCTCAACGTAATAAAAGCTATTGATGATAAAAGTGTTGCAAACATATTAAATGAGGAAAAGCTAAAATCTTTTCTGCTAAGATCAGGACTGAGACATGGATAGCCATTCATGTACAATACATTCATTGAAACTTTAGCCAGGAAAGAGAAAGAAATAAAAGCGGTGCCACAGGAATGTAAGAAGTCAAATTATCATTATCTGCAGGAGACATCATCCTCTACATAGGCTTTGATTCTGTCTGTTTTATTTCTGCTGCCATTCTTTGTTTCTGTTTAACTCTCCCTTTCTTCCTAACTTTCGCACTGAAGCTTTTGATTTTTTCATTCCAGTTTGGTCCCTCTACTTAATTCTCCTTTTATATATGTTCTTTCCACTTCTATTTGCTCTGTGACTTCTTTTAGTGCTTTTATTTAACTGATTCTTTAGGGTTAAGCACGTATTCATCATTGCACTCTAGTCCTGCCTATAGATGAAGGCTATGTAGAATCCTTTCCCTGTACTTAAGAAACACTCCTTAGACTTTTCATCCTAGAATGATTTTAATTGGGAAACTATGGCGTTTTTGTTTCCATGGAATGCACACCCTTTCCACCGCTATCGGGTGCATTTCAGGAACCCTCCTATCATAGCTCCTATCGTAGCTGCCAGGACCAGCAGCTGCCTGCAGCCTGCGTGGGACTCCACCCATCCCCCACCCCCCGGAGGCGGCCTCACCAGGGCCCTTATGACATCATCAACGTTCTCAACCAATGGGACTGGGGGGCTGAGGCCACGCCCTCTGTGTTGAGTTTAGTTCCGCCCTGGTTACGCCTCTTGCAGGCGAGCAGCAGAGCGGCACTGAGACTCTTGGAGAGCGTTTCCAAGTGATGGAAGGCACTGTGCGCAAGTGGCCCTTCCCCTTTCCCTCTCCCTGCACCAGGATTTCAGAAGAAACCCGTAGGCAGAAATTGGCCAGAGCTAGGCAAAAGGTAAAGCACACAGGGAGGATCCCAGCCCCTGGACCCGGACTGAGTCCCCAGATGGCCGCTCCTCGGTCAGAGTCTGTGCCGCCCCTGAGGCACATGGGGCGGGACCCTCCTTGCCCCAGTGCCCCCATCAGGTCCTCCCACAGACCCGGGCCTCACAGCCCAGCCCCCTCCTGGCTTCGGGGACCCTTGCGATCACTCTTGAGGCCTCCTGCCACCCCACCCCATTCCTCCCTGAGCCCTACCTCAGATTGCCTCGTCGCTTCCCTGTTCTGAACACAGAGGAGGGCAGGGGCACAGTCAGATTCGGGGGACAGGGAGGCAGGCGTAGGATGTGCTGAAGGCCCAGTCCCCTCACAGTATCATCACCACCCCTCACCTGGCCCTCGCTCTTCCCACCGGGTGCCCTAAAGTGTCCTTAGCCACAGTCCAGTTTCTCCGGTGGAGACGCAGATTTCCACCCGGAAGGGGATGGGAGCATGGGAAGGGGTGCAGCGAGGCTTTAGGTTCCCTGCTGCTGAACTTGGACACTGACAACAGGAAACTGTCATCAGAGAACCCGAAAGGTTGACGGTGTCTCTGGTGACCCCAGCTTTGGGGTAGTTTTCTCCCAGCATTCTGTCTCCAGAGAGACTCAAAATATCTCCTAAATTCTCTGCTTCACGTTTGAATTCTCGTGCGTGTGTGTGTGTGTGTGTGTGTGTGTGTGTGTGTGTGTAGTGCTGATTACACGAACAGCCTTCATCAGTGGGCCAAGCTCTCCATTGCTGAGCTGAACCCCAGCCCTCTTGCTTTTTTGTGTTAGCCTTAGGGATTGATTCCAGGAGGCACAGAACTACATGCCCAATACTTTTTATAGTTTATTATTTCTATTTTCAGACACTTTTTAATGCTATTTTACCTCAGGCTTGTCCCAGTCTTGTGCTCCTGCTGCCCCAGGGTCACCAGTACTTGGGATGACAGGCATGCACCACAGTGCTATCTCTCTTTCTTTCTCTCTTTCTCTTTCTTTCTTTCTTTCTTTCGTGTAGCCACGTAACTGCTCCGTTGCTCAGGCATTAATTGCTCATCACAGCACTGTGTCGGTCATTGCTGCATTGGAGCAGGTGGTGTGCCTAAGAGTGTGCTGTAGAAGCTATGCAGGAGGATGTGAACACAGAGGCTCATCATTGTCATCAGTATTATTGCTTTTCCTTTATGCAGTTGTGAGAGTTTCAAGAAAGAAACACTCTTTTGGGTCCTTCTCTGGATGCGAAGAAAAGCATAAAACCTGGGATATCCACTGGTGGCAAATGTCACCCACCTGACGAGGTGAGTCAGAGCTGGCCAGGCTGCTGCGGCTGTGGCTCTCATGGCAGTGGGGGGTCAGGGTTCACATGAGCACAATGTCAGGTGCAGGATAAGAAATCTGCATTCGAGGGCCGGGTCTGTGATAGCTCAGCGGTCTGGTGTGTGACAAGCTTATGACAAGTCCTGGGTCTGACCAACAGCAGTGCAATTAAATATGTGGGGAGGATTTTATGTACAATTGTGATGTTTGAATGACACATTTTTATGTGAATGCCCTCGGGCCTGGTGCAGATCAAGCACTCAGTAAATGGTAGCTGCTGTTTGATTTTGCTCAGCCTCAAGGGCAGCCAGGCCAGTGAGAAGAGCCACATATGCTCAGGCTCTCTGCCCGAGCCCAGGGTGTGAGGTCTGGGAGGTGGCAGGGTGTGCAGGGAGCTTGGCTCAGGCCACCCTGGGTGGGGGAGTCTTAGTGGAAGAGGAATCACCACCTCCTGTGCTTCTCTCTGAGCAGAGCCAGGATGCCACCAGTGGCCCCAAGGTCCTGGCTCAGAACAAGTGAGTGTCTCCTACTGGGGCAGCTGTCCCTAGGCTGAGGGGTCAGGGCCGGCCACTGCCCCGAGCCTCTTCCCCATCCAGCTACCTTTACCCTGACCCTGTGTCTCCAGCCCTAGGACGTGCTCCTCCGATGACATCTAGAGGGCCCTAAATGAGATACCGCAGACTGGGGCCAGAGGTGGGGAGAGGGAAGGACACTTGGGTGATAGATGTGCCTGAGGTCGCCTGTCCCTCCCTGTCCACTGCTGCCTGTGCTGTGGGCAGCTGACAAAGTTGAAAAAGGAGAAGGAGGAGCCTGACAGGAAGATCCAGCACCTGGAGAGGAGCGTGGTGGACCTAATGAGAGAGATGCATGAGTGCCGAGTCAAGAGCAGCTTGGAAGGAGCACAGGGTCCCTGGCTGTGGGTGTGACCTGCACTTTCCTAAGGAGTGAGGTGCACTCAAGCGCACTGAGGCAAACACAAAGGGGTCTCCGCCAGCATCTGGCAATCCTCTCATCTGACTGAGCTCCGTGTCCCCATCTGAGAGAGGGGTGACCTGCCCACTGCCAACTCCCACACAAGAAACATTTGGGACAGTGGCTTAAAGATTGGCCATCATCTGGGTAGGAGAAATCATTCATCAGGAAGCCGAGGTGGGGCGAGGAGCCTGAACTGGGGGCTGAGCACTGAGAGGCCAAGACCTCTACTACTACTTCCCTTCTCAGCTGTGCTCCAGCCCTGGAGCCCCCAGCCGGGCCATTGGAGGAAGAACAGCGGCTGTAGTGTGAGCTTGTTTCTGGGCAGCTACATGTCCAGAGAAAGGAAACCTATGTACTGTGTCAGAGAAGGGAGGGACAGGAGGAGGGGCTCCTACAGCTGGAGCACAAGGCTGCACTGTGGGCCAAGGAGGCTGAGGAGGACAGGAGCATCCTGCAGCATCTACAGAGTGACAACACCATGAAAAGCTTGCTCCTTCAGAACCATGAGCTCATGGAGCAGCTGGCCCAGATGCAGGACAGTGTCCTAAGGCTGGTGTGTAGCCACTGCTCGCTGGTCTCCTCCCGCCAGGTCCTTTGGGGCAGAGCAACACACTTAGCCCTCTGGGTCCTTCCCCCATCAGTTCAGTGGGGGCTCTGAAGCCCTTAATTGTGAAGGTGTCCTGTGAGGCAGAACCCTGCTGGAGCATCTGCTGGGGACAGGGGACGATTCTCCATTGTGCCTGCCCCAGGGACACTGAGGTTGGGTCTTGGGTCTGGCTGTATTGGCGGCACTGATTCCTCTTCTCTGAGGAGTGAAGACAACCTAAAAATGGCCAGTGCGCTGCAATCGGAGCAGCTGGAGAGGAAGGAGCTGGCCAGGAAGCTGGGCCAGCTGCGGGAGAAGATGGTGGAGCTCACAGCATTGGTAACTCCCGCCCCGTGAGACTGGGCTAGGACAGAGGTGGTGCCCATGGGGAGGGGAGGTGCTGGGCCAGGGCCCAACTCCCACAGTGGGGGACAGGTGATCCCAGAGCCCTGCCCTTCTCGCTGAGCAGTTCTGTGACTGCTTCCTGCACCATGCCTGTCATGGGTAGATGTGGGTGGCCCTGGGCTCCTCCCTAGTCCTGATGTCAGTGTCCGTGCTAGAGACCTGAGAACCCTGATCCAAGGAAGAGACAGGCTGGGAGAGGAGACTCCTTAGGGCCGAGCTGCATTCTGATCTCAGCTGCCCTGGTCACAGTTTCAGTGCCTCCATCACCACGCCTGGGTGTCCACCACCTGAAGAGGATGTGAACCTTTTCCTCTCGACCTGGTGGATTAAATGAGCCAGTGTGTGAAGGACGGGAGGCTGGGCCAGTGCTTAGTGGTTGTGGGCTGGCTTCCTCTGATTCTGCACAGCTGTGGTCTGAAGTCCCAGGGCTGGGAAAGGAGGTTCTGAGGCTTGAGGCTGGGTGCAGAAGGCCAGAGCTCTGAGTGCCCCCGCCACATTCGTGAGCTCAGGCTCTGGAGCAGCAGCTCACCCTCCCGCACCTCTGGGTCTTCTGCAGATGGCGCTGAAGAGCCAGGAGGCCCAGCAGCTGCAGCAGCAGGGGGAGCAGTTGATGTCCCAGGTGTGGCAGCATGCTGAGGCCTGGCAGCAGCTGGCAACTGAGAAGAAGGCCCTGAGTAGGAGGGTTCTGCTGCACAGGCAGCTGGTGATGCAGGTGCAACACACCAAACAGGAAGAAACTGTGGCCCTGGGCAGGCTCTGCTATGAGCTGGGGGAGACTCAGGTGATGAAGCTGCTGAGGCGGGGCCCTGCATGGAGGGCCTGGCTGCCTCTGACTTCTCATTTTCCGGGCTGCCCACAGGAGGGCCTGGAAGCCTCGAGGCTGCAGGATCAGGAGTCAGCTCCACTGAGAGTCCTGGCACTGGCTGGGGCAGGGTGGGCTGAGGAGGGCTCTGAAACAGAGAGTTGAGGGGGAAGAGACCTCTAGAGTGCTGCTCATTCTCTCCCAGAGTGCCGCAGACCAGCTGCAGTCGATGTCGATGTAGGGTAGGAAGGGGAGATGTCCTGGGCCGGCGATGAGAAAAGAACCTTCACAAGCAATGTTCAGGCTCCCGCTGAGAAGTCTCAGGGTCTGATTTATTTTTATATCTTTAAGCAATAGCTGGGAGGCATTGGGTGGAACATGTTTACATTTTAAGTTGCCTTAGCAATTTCTATTGAAGTAAAGGTTATTTTCTTGTTAAAGTGCAATTCCTCTAAGCTGTTTCATTTCATTGAACGTCACGAATACATATTTAAAAATTACAATTGTCCCCTTATTTACCCACACCTAAACAGAACAGAAAGTAACTTAATCAAAATCTTTATATCAGCGGGGGTACAAGCAAGATTTCATCAACTAAGTGTCAAACTTGTGGTCACCAGCTGGCCCTTGAGAAACTGCACAATGGTTAATATAGTTTGCTATTAGCTCTCTGTTTTTCTATACCTCTGTTCATCTTAACTAAATGTCATTTGGGTTCATAGTCCACGAGCAGGAGATATTTACAGCACTGTGAGAAATACTGAGTAACTTGCCTCCTTAATGCATTTACCTGTCTTAACGTTCTTTCTGTTTCCCATTTTCCACTATTTCTTCCATCTAAAGTCTGTCCTTTCAATCTCTTCATAAGACCCCTTTAGTAAAAAGAATGTCAGCAATAAGAGGGGGAGTCATAGTAGTGGGGGAAACAGAGGGGGTTTTAGGAGAGGTTTCTTTAGGAGTGGATGTGGCAACAGAACTAAGAGAAACTGGAATTGGGACTTGTGAGCCAGATCAGATTTCAACGTATCATTACCAATTTGCCTCATGCAGAGTTTGTTGTTAGTCACAAACACAATGACTCCTGTGATCAGAGTAACAATTATAAACATTATGGCAAGAAAAAATAAAACATGAGGGTACGATGTGTTCCACCCTTTCTTTCCCCCACCGGGAACTTTGTCAAACAGCAATGGAGGTCGGTTGGGCTTCGCCACCAGAGGGCAGTGGCCCAGGGGGCCCTGGCAAGGTGGGTGCAGAGGGGGCCTGGGTCTGCTCTGCCTCGCTTGTGGGCCTCACTGGGGTCCCCCTTGGCTGCTCCCAATTTGAGATGAAGCGGATATGGAAGAAAGGGATGTGGAGACTCCTCAGTCAGACCCCAGCACCACTGAAGACTGGGGCAGCTCGGGCCGTGGTGAGCAGGTCTCCACTTTGTCCCTTCTCTGTGCCCCCTTACTCCCCCCCTCTGTGGTCCCTTTGGACACCCCAATACCTTGTTTTCCCTGCCCTCTCATTTCCGTGGTTCTCACACCTTCACTGGGAGGCTGTGCTCACACTTTAAACTCCAGGAATAACAGGTCCAAGTGCCAGACTGGGGGCTCCTTTCTGGTCCTAGTACCCCCCTCATCCAGGGACCTCCCCCCAGTGTCTTATGCCACATCTGCAGATGGCATTATTCAATGAATACTCTGCCTCTACCACTGCACTCCACTGCCCAGTGCAGGCACCTGATCTGCCTGGCAGCCTCGGCCCAGGACAAACCTGAGGAGGCGGCTGTCACTCCCGGGAGCACTGGTGACCATGTGGTCATGGGGAAGCTGCAGGTGAGTCTGTCCTAAAGCCGGGAAGGGTGGGCAGGGCAGGTGGCACAGAGCGCTTTCCCTGCTGATCTGGCTCCTGCACCAGGGAGAGTGCTGGTGCTGGTCCTGGGTGCAGCCCAAGAGCCTTGGGCTATTTTTAAAGGACAGGGTTTTGGGCTTTTTGTGTCCTTGCATTAGAATCGCCCTCTGGAGCCTGGTAACATGCTCACGCCTGGCCCAATTGGGAGCAGGGCTCCGGTGTTGTCCACGGGCCTGATTCTGCCAGCCACAGGTACCCGCATTTCCCCAAGGAAGCAGCCGCTCTCCTCAGGTTGTAGTTTTGCCCCCACAAAGGTTTTCCCATTTTGTATGGGATACTACACAGACTTTCTTCCCGTGTGAGAAGAAAGAAAACGTCTCCTTGCCCGTTCTCACAAGCCCACATGCTGTTTAAAATCAGAGGCTTAGCTTGTTACATCAGTTATTGAAAAAAAGAAAAAAAGAACTAGAGAATCATGATGGCAGCAGACACTGATGCAAGCCCATGTAACAGTATGTGACAGACAGGAGTGCCACTGGCCAGGGCAAGGTAACCTGGCGGCACCCCGATCAAAGACACACTGAGAAAAAGCCATTTACATACTAGCAGAATGAGAGACCAGGCTACTTTGCAAAATACACAGCAAAGAAATGCATGTGGAGAACAAGGCATAGCCATGGAGTAAATGCAAATGGCCAAAAAGAAAATCAAAAGCATCTGTTCCCTTCTCCCAGGCCACAGCCAGGCCAGAGAGCCCCTCCCTGCTTCCTTGAGAAGAGTCTCCCCTTTCACAGCATAAGGGAGAGGGTGTGGCAAAGAAGAATAGCAGAAGCAAAAAAAAATGAGTCCTTGGAGAGATAAACAAAAATGGTGCCCAACCTGGGCCTTACCTTGGTCTCCGGGACCCAAGCTTTACTGTCCTGGCCGGCCTTGACAGCATTGTATGTCCTGGCTGACTTGCCACACAGCAGTCCCTTTCAAAACGGCTCGACAGTTAAGCATATTCCAGGTCTTCCTGGCCTTGAAAGAAGAATTGGACAGGAAAAGCCATGCAAATGGTGACAAAATTGTATGTACAAAGCCTGGGCTGAAGGGGTAAGGGAAGAACTAGCTCTGGAGAGCCAACGGGGTGACTAAAGCGAGGAAAGGATAAAAGCAAAAAGAAAAGTGCACTCAGTGTGTTGCAGTGAAGAGTCGTGAAGGTGGGCTCCTTGTGGCATCGCCTCTCCCTTATGCTGTCCACATCTCCTGGGAGCACACAAGAACTTCCACCTACGGGGTCCCAGGACTTACTTGGTGCTATCCTCTCCTCTTGGCATTCACAGGTCCTGCCTGTTTCCCCAGCCTGCTTTGCAACACCCTACTTCTTATATCAGTCCCACAAACACCCAGAAAATTGGAGCTGCCACCAAGGAGGGTGGTGAGTGGAGTCCTGGGAGGGGTGGGCAGGGGCACGAGTGGGCAGGGCACAGCGCTCCTCGCCTGGGACTCTCCCTCCAAAGGTCCTGCAGAGAGGTGCACTGCTCACACTGAGGGGCCTGCAGGTTCTTCCCCAGAGCCCAGCTGCCTGAGAGCAGGAACCACAGCAGGACCCAGGCTTGGACATTCACTGCTGCATCCCCTCTTTCCACCTTGCTGAGGAGAAGGAACCGTGGAATCTATTCTGATCTAAGAAGTTCACTAGCAAACCTGGAGAAGGAGCGTAGGGTTAGGGCCTAAGACTAAGGGCCTCAGTAGGCTTTCTGGTTCATCCTGACTAGAAGGAGTCAAAACTTTCCTGGAGGAACTCTCTTGGAAACAATGACAAGGACAAGGATAGACAGAGAAAAGATTTTTTTTTAAAAAGCCGATATAAAAGGAACCCAGGTAGCACAAATGGCCTCGGGACTTGCACCTAAAGGCCAGAGGGAAGCTACCAGGCAGAGCACAGAGAAGCCAGGTGCACAAAGCCAAGGTAACCCTCCCTCGCCACCTCCCACAAAATGCAAAGGAGACAGAAGGGGGAGGAGGAGCGCTCTAACTTCACACACATCCCCTCACTAAGGCTACACTCAACTTCCATAAGGCCCCTCCTCACCAACCAGCTGCTCCTCCTAGACCTAAGGCCCTGAGCAGGACAAGCAGGCAGAGACAAGCCAAACAAAGCCCATGCAAAGGAGGCCCACGGAGTCAAGGGTGCCTGCCTTAATCCAACCACAGCTCAGCAAGCCAATCCAACTGTGCCAGGGAGAAGGGTCTCACCAACCCAATAAATGGTAGCCAGGTCCAAATGCCCACGTGATATTCATCTTTCCAGAAACTTCTACCCTTCTCACCAGGGCGGCATTCTAGCTTCTTTCTTCTTCCTTACACATAAAGTGTCTTCCTTTTAATTCACTCCTGGTGCTGAGTGTAGGATCCCAGGTAGCTGCTCATCCCAGCAGAGCAGCAGTGCAATGCCAGATACAGACTCTGACCCATGGATACATGGGGCCACGTTCAGTCTCTTCCCGATGAATCTACACACCGCATAGTTCCCTGAGAGCTAAATCCTCTGCACCACACAGCAGCGGTCTACAAAGCCCTTCAGCCCCTGGAAGAGAAGCTCTTGGGCATCATGACTATTTTCCCATTTTACAGCGCTTGCAAAGCTGTGAATTGGTCAACACGAGGTCTGCAAGTTCCACAAGAGGCAGTGCCCACCCTAGGCCCTTCTCTTGAGCCTTCCCCACTGAAGATCGCTCCAGGTCCACATCGCCCCATGAGTGGGGGGCGCTCCCTCAGGAAGAAAGACAGCTTCAATAGTTAGAAGCCACACTGGGGAACGGATGTCAGCTTCCCTCAAGCCCACAGAGGCTCCCCGGCCTTGGCTACCTCAAAGTCGCCTCTGGACACACAGCAGCTCTCAGCCAACCACAGCCACCTCCTTTTGGTTTAGCGAGTCACACACAGAGCTGCACTGCTGCTCCAGCTCCAGCTTGGACCTGCAGAGGCTGCTGGCCTGAAAAGGCTTGGTGTGTCCTAGCCAGGCTGGGGGCTTCATCAAGAGTGAGCTGGAGGCTCCGAGCCCTGCCCTTCTCCATGGGAGTCTCCTGCTCTGTTTTCAGCCAGGAGGAGACCCACACTGGAGGGGAGAGGCCTTGCCTATTGCTCCTGCCCAACACCTGCCCAGGGATCCTACCCAAACCCCGAGTGGTGGGGACACTCACACCCCAGACACACTGGGGCACTCAGGCCACAACTCTCCTCGAAGAGAAGCTTATGGCTCTGCTCACCCCACCCTCAGCCCCAGAATGGACCTGCAGACCTTGAGGCCCCTCCTGATGGGACAAAGAGGGGAGGGGAGGTCCAGCCAGAGCTAATAATCATGGAGACGGTCACCCCTGCTTATGAGGGAATATCGATCCCTTATGGACCTCACAAGGACACCCCATCGCTCTCCATGCTGCCCAGTCCTCATCCCTCTGACTACAGCCCTTCCCTGCTGGCCCTGCCTGGTGCCTGCTGGCCCTGCCTTCGCAGGTCACCTCTGACAGGATAGGT